GATCACCCAGTTCCTAGTGCTGAGGTCTAAAGGACATATGTTCTGGTGCAGCCCAGCCTGGGATGATAGCCAGGTCTGCATTTAAAGAAGTTCCCAGGTCATCCCTACCTAAAGCAGCAGTAATAGAGACAGCAATCAGAGAATGTGTGTCTTATCACTAAATTGAGTGGATTGAGTGTTGAGTGGATTTTCCTGGAGAGGAATGATTCCAAGGTCTTCACTACTACTATGTGATTCTGCACAAACTCAAAAGTCTCCACTTCCTGCACATAAGTGGAAAGGTCTAATAATGCTGCACCATACAAAGACACCTACAGTGGCTGTTGTGGCCTCCATCAAGGATGCCAGGGACAGGAAGAAAGCTGTCAAATGACCTTGGAAAGCAAATGTCAAATGACCAAAGAAGACAAAAGCATTGATTTATTTTTTTAAATTTTATTTCAGTGTTGGGATGGAAACTGCACAACAATGAAAATAAACCCACAACCTTAGAGTATGCCAGAGGCCAAATCTTATTCTTAGCTGAGATCCATGAAGCAACCTTCAGCTCTGAGCACAGAGTCATGGTTCAGTAACTCCTCTTTGAATGCTACTTTGGGCTACAGTCCTGGCACAAGTGTGTGAGCTGGAAGGGGGAAAACAGGGCTTCGCATGGAAAGCTGCCTTTAGCATGTTAATATCTGTATTCTCACCAATTCTAAGTTCTCATGAGGGTTTTTCAACCCTACTCTGGATTTGATTTCCATGCTATTTCTGTTAGTGGCTGAAACTGTGGCTGTAGTGCACAGTCTTTGCTGAACACTGCTGCTCCACTACCTGCTGCTGTACTGTCAGACTCATTGGGGATAACATGTCATTGTTTCTCTTCCTAATCTGCTGGATGTCATTCAGAAAGCTGGGACAAGGAGAATTTTTTCCCCAGACACCAGCTTTCATTGGTCGCAGACAAACCTCAAGCCTTATAATACTACTTGTACATGGCATTTATATAGCTTTACATCCTCAGAGTGCTGTACTAGCATTAAGTAATTATCTCTCTCCCTAATGGCCATTAATGCTGGCCTTTCATGAACCTCCCCCAGCTCCCTGAGGTTCATATCTAATACAGCAATGAGCTGTTCAGAGGGAGTGGCTGGCTATCTTGCAAGTTTACTGGCTTGGATGTGTAATGAAGCTTCAGAGCAGAGGCCACAGTATCAGAAACATGTGGCCATAGACCAGGTCATACACTTGGGAGCATCCATTAGAAAGGGATGGAAATGAGTAGGTGATACTGTGATCTTGAAATGGAGAGAGAAGAAGGAAACTTTGGCCACTCAGACGATGTACACTGATTGCTCTATTTATTACCAGGATAGCACTGCAAACTGAAAGAGCAAAGCAGTGGGAATAACATATCAGTGTGGGCAGTGGGAGTTGATCTAGGGAGAGAAAGTTAGAGAGCTAAAAATGTCAAGCAAAGCTAGACAGCCATGGCAATGGGATAAAGAGGCCAGTCTGCAGGTCTATGAAGCATTAAAATAACGAGGAAAAAGGGCGAACTTGGCAGCACCACTGGATTTTAAGAGAGGAATAGAAGAGGATTTACTTGTCTTATTTGCTTTCAAATTGAAAGCAAAACCCTCTTCCAGGTTGTGGAGTGTCTCCAGGGGAGATGTTGCAATGCCACTCTTTCAGGACATTTTACCCTTAGGGACCTTTAGAAGATGAACCTACTTGATGGCCGGGTTCCCCCATCCCTAGCTCCCAAGGGAAATGGAGAAGATGGAGTGGGAAGATGACAGGGTTGTTTTAAAGAAATCTCAGAAATAGCATGTTCCTCACAAGCACCTGTCCTGCGGTTACTTACGTCTGAAACTTGCTAGGCTGAGCTCTAAGCAAGCAGAGGTTTGACTGAAACAAACTTTCCCCTTCTTCCTAAAAACATGATAACAATTCTTTCCAAAGCCAAGGACATGCCTTGTAAACTGGCTTTGCAAAAGAAATAAACAGCACCCTTTTTTTTCAGCCTGATTTAATAGCATCATTTTGCTTTTATGCTTCTGGCAATGGCTGGTCCTGTAAAACAAGTATGTAGCTGTGGGAATCATGCGCAAGTCTACAGTGGCATAACACATCTCACAGCCACTACATGTTATGCAAAGGATTTCTGTCACCCAGGACACACTCTACTTCCTGTGGCATCAGTAGCATAATCCCTCTTTGCTCAGCTCTAAATCATTTTGCTACATCAGCAAATAACAGAGTATGGCTGACTGCAGACCAAGAAGACTTAGTTTAGCATTCACTTACTACACAGCTTCAGAGAAGGGCCTTTCCTTGCCTTCTGCATCTGTTTCTTCATCTGTGAAACAGGAATTTTAATCCTAATCAGTTTGTGAGGGAAGCAGTAAGGGATAGTCAAAGGTGATGCTTTAAAACGTAATAGTCAGCCTTATGTGCTAGGCTAGACATTGGAGTGGTTTTATGGTACAGGTTAATCGATGCCTGTTCTGCTTACAGCCAGCTGGCAAGTGCAAGACTTAGCATTTGCTATCAAAAACATGACATCCTGTTTGAGAATGCCTCTGCAAGGGACACCTTCTTACCTCTGAGCATGGCTGGGCCATCTTTTGGGAGCCATGTATTTCTGGGCAATGCTTAGGGTTTTTTTCCCCAAAAAACTTAATAATTACCAGATTAACTCTTAGTAAAAGATATGTTACATGACCCGCAGGTTTGTAAGGAAAGCTTGGGCAGTCCCTGGACTCCACAATATGAACTGTGTCATCACATACTTAGAAGAACTGATGACTGTGTATGTCATTTTACCGGCAGTTCTTCACCAGGATGTGTCTAAAGGAGACCAAAGACCTTAACTTTATTTTAGCTTATTAGAACTGAGATGGGACTACTGGCTTCTCTGCTCTGCTGTCAGAGCCTGATCCTCAAGTGGTGTAAATTAGGGCCCTCCCATTCGAGCTGTACAGCTGTAATACTGCCTGTGTAAGATGAGGGCCTGGTTCATACATTCTGAACTGCTCTAAGACCTGTTCAAAATTGAGTTAACTGTACTCAGTACCTTGTACTACCTGTAATCACAAATGATCCTGCAAGATTCAGGATATTGCAAATGTAGAGAGCTTTGCAATAAGTAATCATCTTGAGATTGCTGGAAAACTGAAGAGTTAGTGCTACTTAAAGGAGAATAAAATAAGCATTAGCACAAAACAGTTTTTGCAACAATCAAGTTTGATATATGTCCTGTTCTGCTGATAATGTTTCCTCAGAGCCCTTCACAAGAAGGGAAAGCAACTTGTAAAAGCTGGGAATGCAGAAAAGAGCTAAAATTGCAGCCAGGGTTTCAAAGGAACAAACAAAGAAAAGCGTATTTCCATTTCCATTACAGCAGAACGTTCTTGGGAGTTCAGAGCAGCAAGCTGAGAACATGCCAGCCAAGCTGCCTCTAAACAGGAGGTGTAGAGCTGCGATGAGCTCCTTATCTTCATGCATCTGCACTTAGGAAAGAAAGATCTTCCTGAGACTTTTAATACTCCTTCTCTTTTTTTTGAGGAAGGATCTGATCTGCAGCCCTCTGAGTACAACACTGCAAGCCTGAGTCTAAATTCTGTCAAACCCAAGAGAAGTCTGAACCCCTCCATGCAGAAAGACTGTTGAGCATCCTACCCTTTTCACACCCTATTCCAACACATCTCCCAGCACCATCCCTCTTGCTTCCAAGCACTGCAGTGTCTCTCTACTGACCCTTCCCCACACTAGTTCTGCTTTAATCAGGCAGTGAAACCTGTGGGAAAACTGGCAGCTTGGAGGAAAGCTTTTGTTTGTACAAGAAATGTTTTCATCCAAGCAAGCACAACCATCTCATTATTTTGAATCGCCACACGTATGCTGGAATCTTAGATAGCAGATACCTTCTCCCCTCATCTTTCATAGGACCAGGGAGATTTCTGCCTGTTTGATTCTGTTGCAGTGCTACAAAGTTATTAGCACTTGCTTTTTTTGGTGTCCATAATGAGACAAGCAGTCTTCCAAGCAGCACCACAAAAGCACTTCTTCTCATCACCACTAAAACCTTGGATACTTTACCCTCAGCAGATATGAGTGCTGGAGACTTGCAGGCCTGCTGCTTCCAGCTCTGGCTGGTTGTAGCAATTAGCTGTTTCCCCACAGATGGAGCTTCTTATGCAGAAGGACAGAACAGAAAAAACCTGTCCTGCTCAGAGACACTTTTTAGGAATCTCTAGTGAATCCAAAGGTACAACCACCTGATTTTAGACTGCATGTATCCTGCAAGCCTCCTGTATACCTGCTGGATTTGTGTGCCGTAGAGAAGGATCGACCCTGACCTGAGAAAGTGCCTTGCCCTGGCTTGGCATTCTCCAATGGGATACACCCACAGGCTCTTCCATTTCCAAATTCTCCAAAGGGGCTGGCTTTCCCTCCTCCTTTAAATGCCAGACATACCCCTGCCTGTTCTTTACCAACAGCCTGCCTTTTAGCAGTGTGGTCTTGCAGTCATTTACATATTCAAAGCACTCTTTGATAAGGCCTGTAAAACAGTTTTATGAGCACAAAATCTTTCATGCAACTAGGTGATGTGCTGATGCCTGTGTATGGCTTTTAGGGAACCTTTCTGAAGAGGGAAAGACCTCACACTGTATTTCTGGTGGGTGTCTCACTGAGGCCCTTTTTTTTTTGTTTCTTGCTTTGCTTCCTCGTTCACCAGACTGTAGGGCAGTTTGCATTTGATTTCTTTACAAGCCCATTTTGGGTGGAGAGGACATAATTTGTATTGATTCATTTCACTCCCTATCCATCATGTTAACCAGGTGGGATTGGCGGGTGAGCCCATGAATGGGGAGGCAGTAGCTAGCCTAGCTTCTTGGAGCAGCTCCTCGTTGCTGTAGTTCTCAGGGAGGCCCTGAGTTTGTCCATGTCATATCAGGGCTCACCCCTTCCTCAGGACTCTCAGCACTCAGACTTCCTTGTGCCTTTCCCAGGTTGGAGGACACACCATGCTGCCTATTCGCTGGATGCCTCCGGAGAGCATCATGTACAGGAAGTTCACAACAGAGAGTGACGTCTGGAGCTTTGGGGTGATCCTCTGGGAGATCTTCACGTATGGGAAACAGCCCTGGTTCCAGCTCTCAAACACAGAGGTACAAAAATGCTGAGACACCTCAGCTGGAAACTATACTTTTTGCTATCTCTCCAGGTTGCTTTCAAAGCAGTTTGTACACGAGTGGTCTTCTCCTTGACACTCCAATGGTGAAGCCATAGGATATGTGTCACTATTTTAGTTTAAAGGCTGGGAAAACTGGGGCATGCAGCAATCAAAGGGCTCTGCCAAAGCTGTATACTGGTTCATCCTCAGCCTCTCCCTGCTAAGTTCCTGATATACCTCTGACCTATCTGATAAACTATCAGGTTGCTGCCACAACTGGGAATACCCAAATTACTGCGGGGAGCTAAGTTACTGCCATTCCCTGAATTTCTTCTGCTTTCTCCTTCTTTTAACCGAGGCACTTACTGGAGTTTCCAGCTTGTCAGGGATTGTTTTAAGCCTTTTATATTGCATGTGGCACATTTCCATGGTATTTTTTGCCATTGGGATATCTATTATATTTTTTCCCCCAGTTCACTGAGGGTGGAACCTAAGGAGCTGGTTTGTCCTTGTTATTTCTCTGACTAGCCAAAAGTTGCAGCCCACCAGTACAGGGCTGCACTGTAAAAATGTTGAGGGAAGGCTGGCTGGGATTAGCAGGGTGTCAGTGCTGAGATTTGAGGCACATCAGCAGAAATGCATTGGAAGATTTTTGCTCAGAATAGCAGGGGGTATTATAGAAGAAGAAAAAGATGCATTGACATAGCAGTGTGTGGGAACCTTGCACATTTTTATCCTACTGTGTATCTAATGGATTTCAGAAATTTCACCTTTTGTAATGAGAAATGTGCATTTTCTGCTTTCTGGATACAGATCCCTTAATTAAGTGAGTTGCAGAGATGGCAAATCCAAGGTGTTGCTTTACAGCTCTAATACTTGCCCATTCGTGTGCTCAATGGGGCCTGACTGTATATCCCAAAGTAGCACACGCAAACATTTTAGAGACACAAACAATGGAATCGACAGCGACAGAAGTTATTTGTCACGCTATTTAATGAGCTGCTCTTGCATTTCCCTGCGAGGGTAAATACAAACACACACAAATGAGCACGTGTAGCTTGTACATGGGTGATAGGCATGCTGGAATGTGACAGCTCAGCTATGCCTAATGCCTTCTGCCTCAGTTTCCTTTGCAGGGCAGTAATCACCCTTAATCTTGAGGAAGAAGGCTGTTTAAAATCTGCAGCTGTATTGGTTTGCTGCCATCCCTGGGATAAAATCTCATCCTTCTCTTTCCTATTGTTGTATCCACTTCTTTCTGATTGCTAAGGAGTCCCACCACAGACCACAGAATTCTGATGAGATGGAGTCACATTGGCTCTCATCTGGACTGTTTTTCACAATTTGTTGAGAGGTGGGAAGAATGTGGGTGGCTGCAGAGGACTGATACCTCCAACAGCTCCTGGATGATGTGGTATCAGAGCAAGTCTCTGTTGCAGCCTGACTGCAGCAGCAGGGTCCCATGGAGAAGCAGGTTAATGAGCCTGTGCCAAGTTCCTAGCTGCCAGGTCTGGACCATGAGCAAGTACAAGACTAGCTGAGTATCACCACTGCTAGGTGTTGATGTTAGCAAGGCTGGGATGCTGCTCCCCCCTGTGCCATCTGCATGGCCTCATACCCCCAGAATATTTTCAGCATGTTTTTTCAAGGCTGGAAAAGACTCTGTCTGAGCAGAGGAATGAGACAGGCCACCACTTAGCCAGTCCATTAACTTCTGCCTATGCCCTTCCTTTGCCCTGGAGAGAAAGGGCCCACCACAGGGTTCCTGTGCATGTCCAGGATGTCCTGTCAGAAACCATAACTCACCTCCTCCCACAAGTCAGCAGCCAGCAGCACTATGGCAATACAGGCTTCTTTGCATGCTGTGTCTTCCTCACCCTGCTTTCAGCAGGTCCAAATCTCTCCCCTCTGTATTTATATACAAACAGCAAAGTGATAAGTATCCCTTGAGCTATGCAGCAGGACAATTACTATTCATAAATGATAAATTCCAAACACCACTCACTGGGTGGCTTCCCTCAACACATTGTTTAGGACCAGTGTTTATCTGCAGAGTGTGGCAGGTCACTTGCACACTGCAATGCTGGGACTCATCAACCCCAACCAAGGAAGCCAGAGTGTCATAGCAGCTCTTTAACAAATCATATCTCCCTTCCCTTTGCATTCATTCCTCTGGTGAACAAAACACAAACAGACACTTAGGGAAGTCCTTTCCAGTGGCATCCCTCTGAAGAGACTTTAATGTTACCCAGGAGCTCATATTTTTCTCATTAGCAGCACTGATCTGACCCAAAACAGAGTGATAGCACTGAAAATTTTTTTCTCCATCACAGATGTGATTTGACATGAAGTTTTATTCTTTTAGTTGCTTTTCTATGTCAAAATGAGGCAAAGCTGTGCTTGGAGATGTATGTGGGAAAAGATACTGTACAACTCTTCCTTGTACAACTCTCCTGGGTTTTGCAATGGAAAGGAGTCTTGGTTTTCAGGCAAGAAAAATAAAATTTCAGCTGTGCAAAATATTACTTTACTTTGGGGATTTGAAGACTTTTTTCCCTTCCTCATTTAGCAGGAAAAACTGACATAATAAATTAAAACCTTCATTTGCTTGTGACCTCCTGTTTGGAGAATGCATTGAGGTAGGTAGGTGTCAAATGGGGAAAGTTTTTGGGATCTGCAAGACTGCAGCTGGAGACAAACTTCTCAGTGTAAAATTATCATTAACAACACACGAACAGGTGAGCTTTGAGAATCTGCAGACCTCTTGGCTTCTCAGTGCTCCCATTCACTAAATGGTACCACATCAGCCAAGAAGTAGCTGGGACAGTACATCCTCCAGAAACTGCCCAGCTGGTGTACAGTGTCTCTTTTCTTTCTTTCTTTTAGGTCATTGAGTGCATTACCCAAGGCCGAGTTTTGGAAAGGCCTCGAGTCTGCCCCAAGGAGGTTTACGACATCATGTTGGGCTGTTGGCAGAGAGAACCTCAGCAACGGCTCAACATCAAGGAGATCTACAAGATCCTTCATGCTCTGGGCAAGGCCACACCAATCTACCTGGACATCCTTGGCTAGCAGTGGCCACTTGTTGGAAGTCCCTTCTCCTTTATTCCGTCCTTCCTCCCCTCTCCCCCTCCCAAGTCCTTTGCCCCTCAGCTCCCAAGCAAACATCTTCATATAAACTCAAGTGCCTGCTACACATACAACACTGAAAAAAAAAAAAAAGCAAAACAAAACGCAAACCAACAAAAATCCCACAGAACAACAACCTGTAAGGCAGTTTGGCTTATATATATTTATAGATATCTCTCTATATATAACTTCCACACCAATACAAAAAGAAGCTGCTGTTACAGAAAATTGTAAGACTTTAAAAATAAGAAAAAAAGAAACAAACAAAAAAAGGGAGAAAAAGTACTTAAAAAGGTATATATAATTTAAAAAAAAAAAAAAGACAGAGAAAGAAAGGAGAAGGTAACTTTCCCCCAAGCAATGAAGCAGTGAATTGTAACCCTGCTCTGAGTATGGTTTGGGCTGCTGGGCAGGGCTCTAGACTGGCTGTGGCAGGGATGCCATCCTGGGTAGGGGCCCCGGGAGGAAAGCCTTGCTCTGGTTGTATGATATGCACTGAATGTGTGAAATCAGTTCTCCCTTTTTGTCCTTGCCTCCCTCCCTTCTTTCCAGCCCGCAGGTGATGGGCTGAAAGCCAGGGCAGTGCCCCTGGATGAACTCTCTTTTATCAACCTCTTCCTCCCTCCTTCTCCATCCCTCCCCATCCCTCTCTGCCTTTCCTGCCTTTTTCCTCCCTCCAACATTTCAGGACAATTTTTCTAATTTGCTGATTCTTAAATGTATAGACTCAAGGCTTTTGAACACACAGTCAAAGGATTGTGGCACCTACGGGTAAAACACACTCCGGGAACCAGCTGCCCTCCCACAGATCACGAGCTGGCCTGACCCAGCCCTCCCTCTGCCCCTTGCCGGCTGCTGCCAGTGCTGGGAGAGCAGCGGGACCAAAGCGGCTGTGCCTGGGAGTCGAGGGGGGTCCTGGGGACCCGGTCCTGTATCATTCCCCAACCCATTTCAGTGTGCGAGACAGGAGTGCCGCTCGCCCCGGGCGGTCAGTCACTTTGGGAGGGACAGCCCCATCCCCACCACTCCTCCCCACTCTTCATGGTTGCTAGCGGCCGGGGGTGTCTGCACCATGGCCAAATTGTTCCCTGGTGTAAACCTGCAGTGAGCAGGGTTGGATCCTGTTCCTCTCACGGGGAAAAGGCTCCAGCATGCAGACAGCTGGGAACATGCCTGCATCCTGGCTGGGCATGTCTATGGGGTCAGCATATCCCTGCGCTCTTCCTCCCCATCCTCTTCCCTTCCCCGTTCCTGCCTCGGTCCAAGCCTCAGGCACAAGCCAGCGGGGAATACGGAGGGGGACAAGGCTTGTGAGATGTCTGGGAACCTACCAACACCTGCCTGCGGCTCCCTTGCCATTCTCCTCACGTCCCCATCCCCTGAAAGGATTGATGCATCTGCCTTTGAGCTGTTGTGAAATGCAGAGGCTGAAGAATAGCTCCACAGGCAGCCCCGGGGGGAGGGGGGGGAGGGGAAGGAGGGGAAGGTGCCTTCAGGAGCAGACGGCTCAGCGGATGGCCGCAGCGGCCAGCCCTGCATCCCAATGAGCAGCAGCGACAGGGGGTGGTGGGGACCGCGAGGGAGAGGCGGCAGCATCCTCCCTACGGCCCATGGCCCCGGGTGGGGAGTAATCCTGACCTGTGGAAATACTGAGCCAGGCTCTGAATCCTGCTTGTCCAGACCGGGCTGAGAATACAAAACCTTTCTTGGTCTTTTTTCGTGTGGTTAATGGAGGATGAGGGCGAACCTCAGCTTGGCAGCTGCTCTCAGGAGGCAGGGAGCGGGCGGCACAGGCATTGTCAAGGCAATTTTGAGAAGGCAACAACTGCCGGCACAAAAATAGCCTGTTCGGATGTAGCACTTGCCTGGGAGAGAATGCAGATGGGGGAAGAGGAGACAAAGAAAGGATCTTGGCTTCTTCCCCGTGGCCAAAGTAGTGTTCATGGCCAGGATGCAAGGGGAGATAGGTGACTCTGGTTATGGTTGGCCCTGAAACGGAAGATTTTGTGTCCTCTCCTCATCCTATCTGTATGTCTCACCCATGGCTCTGGCATGGCTTGTCTTATGGTTTCAGACAGAGGCAGGGGACACTGCCACAAGGAGAATTGTGGTGGCAACAGTGACCATAGGTTTATTCTGTGCTTGTGCAATGAGCAGTGCAAGCCTGGGGTGGGAGATGGTTTGTGGCAGTAGCCATGTGGGAGTAAGGACATAACTTTCCTCTGTGTGCTAGAGAGATCTGGGCTAGTGGGACAGACTTGTGCCTGGGCTGACTGCTGCTGAACAGGCATCAGCTTCTCACAACGTGGACACCAAAGATGGCATGGTCATGGACAAGGGTGTG